GTGAAAGAACTTAGTCCTCAGCAAAGGGAGGCATCCTATCTCCCCTGAACACGAATCCAGATCTCTCTGACCACACACACACTCCCTCAGCATGCAGTGTAGGGAGGGATCAAAAACCATCCTGAGGATCAGCTCTTTCTGCCCAGAGGAGGCAGCCCAGCCATGGAGGGTGGGAGCTAGCTGGGGGGGGGGGGTAAGCACCCTGTGGTATAGCATGTGGCCCCAGACCAGGGGACAACAGGAAGGCCTCAGAGGAAGAAGGCTTCCTCCACTTCTGACTTGGAGCTGAGCCCTCCAAGTTTTTTTTGGAGTCACCAAAACTGAGTTCCAGTTCCAGCTTCAGATGTCATTATTATTCAGTGGCAGTCACCCTGGGTCCCAGGAACCTCAATTTCCTTGGCTAGCAAGTGGCGCCAATGGGGCCAGTTGTGGTGGTGCAGGCCTGTAATACCAGTGGCTCAGGAGGCTGAGGAATGAGGATCGCGAGTTCAAAGCCAGCCTCAGCAAAAGCCAGGCGCTAAGCAACTCAGTGAGACCCTGTCTCTGAATAAAATACAAAATAGGGCTCGGGTGTGGCTCAATGGCTTAGTGCCCCTGAGTTCAATCCCCAGTACCCACCCCCAAAAAATGACACCAATGGCCCCCAGCCTGCTTGCCTATGGGCTGGGGTGAGGATGTATGGAGAGAAGATGAAGTTCGAGGGGCTCCAAGCCCCTCGTTCATGAACTTCGAGGGGTGCGGGAAGGCAGGTGCCCGCTGCAGTGACAATGACCATCTTGCATTCCCTCATGGCCAGGATAGCCTACTTCTGTGGATCACAGGGCAGTCAGCACACAGGTGGCTGCACCCTCAGAGCCAGCAAGAGGGGGTGCTTCCTTGGGCTTTATTCCTGTCACACATGTGCATGAATGCACGCACCCCCTGCCCAGTTATTAAAAAACATACAGGGGTTGGGGGGCAGTGGCACATGCCTGTAATCCCAATGACTTGGGATGCTGAAGCAGGAGGACTGTGAGTTCAAAGCCAGCCTCAGCAACTTAGGCAATAAGCAGCTCAGCAAGACCCTGTCTCTAAATAAAATATTAAAAAGGGCTGAGGATGTGGCTCATGGTTAAGTGTCCCTGGGTTCAATTCCCAGTACCAAATAAGTAGATAAATTAAAACACACAGAGTTCAGTGATCTGTGCTGGCAGATCACAACCTTAAGCATTCGTTCCCATGACTTTCAGGGAAATCCAATTCTGTTCCTCTTGGCTAACATCCTTGACACAAAAGACATCCCAGCAATCCAAGATTTGGGGGCTTTGAGACACTGCTTCCAAATGCACACAGGAGCTGAGAAGCAGAAGTTTGTCTGTGAGAGAAACAGTCCTCTTAGCACAAGTGTCATTGATTTTTTAAAAATGACAGGTTTAACAACAAATATCATTTTCCAGTGGCACTGAGTACCCATTTTTTCCTTCTCTCATTCCAATTCATGGTTCTGAATGTACCTGATACTTAGTATCTCTTACACAAATGTGGAATTGATATTTGGTATGAGCAGTTGAGAAACATTTTGCAAAATTAAATAATTTGTTTTGCTCTCTAATTTGTGTATGTAGATTTACATTAGAAATAAACCAATGATGTGCTGGGGGGTATCTCAGTGGTGGAGCACTTGCCTAGCCCCTATGAGGCCCTGGGTCCATCTCAGCACTGCAAAATAAAAACAGGAAGAAAGGAAGAAAGAAATAAAGAAACACAAAGAAGTATAATACTCATCGCTTCTGTTGGCAACTAGATACATATAGAATGCTAGATACAGAGTGTTTCATAAAAGCATTTGATAACAATTTTCTTGAATATTCAAAAAATAAAATCTAAAGACATCAGGATTGTTTAAATAATTTTGATTTGAGGTTTTGATATTCATTAATTATGATCATATTTTATCTTCCCATGGTCCCTGTTACTTACAAATATTTTCAAGACCAAATATTTTGGGGGAACATATTTTTAAAATGTTTTTGATTCTTATATTTACCATAATCTAGACATGCTGATGAAAGTATATTCAAATTCTGCATACTTGAGTATAATTACATTCTGTTTTTATTCCTTTAGAGAAGAGTTGGCAAACTTTTTCTTAATGAGCCAGATAATAAATACTTTAGACTTGCAGGCAATGTGGTCTCTGTCACAACTACTCAACTTTGCTGTTTCCTCATAAATACAGCTATAAATAAAATGTAAATGGATATGTATTATATGGTTTGAGTATGAGGTATCCCCCTAAAGCCCAGGTGACCACCTCCAGGGGTCACATGCCATGGCTGACCTCTGCCCTCTAGAATCTTCAACCTTGAAATCAGCCTCCTGTCTCGACCCCACTCTAACTTCCATCTCTGGCCTTCAGGGAAGAGTGTAGCTCTTTCCAAAGATGCAGGGGCTCCCCTCACCCATGTACTTCTGGGTCCAGGGGTGGCCTCTTGGGGACAGAATTAAAAGAGGGTTCATAATAACGTCAATTCAGAAAAAAAAATTATAAGGGGTTTCTGGCATTTCAGTGTAGGCCACCAGGTCTCCTTATCTCCCAGCCAAGCATCTCTGGGAAGGAGCCTTACTTAGGTCAATCCCTCCTTTCCTGAAGCCAGCTGGTCTGGAAGATGCGCTGACACAGAATCGACAGCATGCTGACGGAGTGTGGGAAAGAGAAGACTGCAAAGGTAACGCCCAGGTTTTGTAGGGGACAATTGGGTTATGGCAGTGTGGTTGAGTGGCATGGATAAAACCGGAGAAAGAGCAGGTTTGAGGTAAATGTTGCTATTGTGCCCACTTTGCCAAAGTGGGAACTAATGATTAAAGGATTTAAGTGACTTGACTTAGGTCACATAGCTAATAAGTGACAGAACAGGATCTGAGCCCAGGTCTGCCTGATTCCAGAGTCCAAGCTCCTGCCACCCACCTCTTTTCCTGCTCTTTTGCTTCCACATTCTGCCTCATCCAGGCCTGCACTGCCACAGGGGGCCATGAGTGGCACCTCCAGGGTGCATGGAAGGTTCCATGTGTCTTTCTCCTTTATTCTCTCACCATCCCTGTGAGGCAGGTTCTACTATCCCTGTGTCAGTCAGATTTCCGTTGTCATAACACATTCCTGAGGTACTCAATTTATAAAGAGAACAGGTCTCTTTGGGCTCTCGGGTTTAGAGTTTCCAGTGCACGGTCCATTGGCTCCATTGTTGGGGGCTGCAGTGAGGTAGTGCATCATGGTGGGAGAACATGGTAGACCAAAAACACTCACCTCGGGACCAGGGAGTAAAAGACACTGAGAGAGGCAGAGACCAGGCATCACTACCTCCTTCAAGAGTGCACCCTCACTGACCTAAGACCTCCTACTAGACTGTCTCTTAAAATTCCTACCACCTTCCACTAGCACCAAGATGGTGACTGAGCCTGAGCACATGGCTTTGGGGCACATTCCAGATCCATCTGTAGCAATCCCCAATATCACGAATGGGGATGGTGAGGCTCAGACCAAGCTGACGAGCTAGTGAGACCTTCCAGGGGACTAATGACAGCATCAGATTATTAAGAAGTGTTTATAGAAGTCCTTTGAGAAGTTAGCCTAGCACAATGCAAAAATCTGCCCTCTCCCAGCCTAATGGATGGGGTGCCCGAGGAGGTCATTAGCTTTTGTCCTCGTCCATAGGACCCTGCCGGTTCCTCCTTGTACCGAGCAGAGTGAGGGGCTATCGGGAAGCTGTCCAGCACCCTAGGAGGTCGTGGGCATAGTCATGGAACCATCTTCTTCTCTGGAATTCTCTGAGGAAGCCTCATGGGTGGAATTTTAGTGGCTGAGGGCTAAGGCAGGATGTGTGCAGCTCCTATGTCACCCCAGCTCCGTGACAGACTGAGTGAGGCATAGAAGAAGACCCTGGATCCCATATTCCACCTGTAGGAGTGCCCAGGTCAAAGAGGGGAGGGCACATGGTGCCTAGGTGAAGGTCATCCCTCCCAGGGGGGCTGGCACAAGAACAGTATGTGACTCTCCCTCTTGGGTTCTGTGGTGAAGAGTCACAGTCCACAGGACAGCACCCTGTCAGATTGCAGTGGGAAGGTCTCCAGTGACCAGCATGAAGCCAGGGTCTCATGATGCACCTCTCTCTCCTGCCCCCATTGATAGGGTCGCCAGGTCCAGAAATCAGGGTGGAGGGGAGGGACTTAGAGGAAGCCACTCCAAATGTTCCCAGTTATATGGCCACCTCTAAGTGGGGGAGTGAAATAAGAGGTGTGAGTTTGGGACAGAGGTCTAAGCCCACCAGATCTTCTCATTACCAAAAGTCTCTTGCTCTGCTTGCCATGTTGAGGGTGTAACAAGAACTGCTTGCACCCAGCAGTGGGTTCATTGATCAACCTCTCTAAATGGACCCTCCTGGGGGCCCAGTTGCTCAGCTAACTGGAATGCACGTGCTGGTAGCAGGCTGCTCCCCATGGCGCATCGCGGGAGGGAAAGCCACAGGGAATGAGTGTTAGGGTCACAGCTCCCTGTGTTGGCTTGGACCGTGATGCCAGGCCCTTGAGCCCGTGCAGAGAGGACAAAAGAGATGCTGACTCACAGTTCAATGACAGCACCCCCACCCCTGGTGACAGCAACCAGATGGCAAAGCCCTGTCCTGTGGCCACTCAGCCCTCTCTTGCTTGCCCATCAGAGACAAGCACGTCAGGCCTGCAGAGCCTGCGGTTTGCAGCCCAGTGGGAGGATGATTTCAGTCAAGGTCATTGCCCTCTTTATGGACTATGGGTCCAGCAGAGATGGGCTCCAACAACGGAATCCCTTAGCCAGGAAGCAAGGGAATAAACCAGAGATGGGTTGGTTGGGAGGACCCTGTGTGCTCCCTTTTGGCATCTGCCCAGGCCCCGTGGCTGGCTGCACCTGATCGTCAGGCCCCAGTAGTCAGCAACAGCACTTTGACCATAGCCACCTGGGGTCAATGCTTAGGGATGGAAACAAAGCATCGCGTGTGTAAGCACGAGGCTGGGCTCGGGGTTGGGTGACCTGGTCCTTACCTGCCTCTCACTTCCTGCCAGTAAGCTTCACCTGGGGCAGGAATGCGGGAGGCTGCACGGGCAGCTCACGGGGGTGCAGGCTTCCCTGCCAGCTCTGCCCCTGTCCCTGAAGGACCCATATCAGGGAGAAAGGATCCAAGGATCCAGGCTCAGAGTGGACGTGGGACATCAGAGGACAAGCCAGAGAGATCCTGGAGTCATCTCAGAAGGCTTTGGGCAAAGGCAGTAAGTCCCAAAGAACGGGAAGGTTAGGGACAAACCTAGAGTAGGTAGCACTTGCAGGCATGAGTGGGGAGGAGCTGGGGGCTGGCAGAACCTTGGCTGAGAGTGGCTGACTTGTTGGACAAACTGCACACAGCCTTCTGCATGAAGACCCTGCTGCAGCTGAGCATCAGACCACGAGGGGACAGCAGGATTGTGCCCTCCGGGATCTCTGTCCAGGTAGGCACAGGCAGAGCAACCTGGGCCACGGGAAGGTCTCAACCAGGAGTTGTGCAGAGCCGGGGTGGGCAGGTGGCTTCATGATGGACCGTCTAGAAGATCCAAAAAGGACCCCCACCTGCAGGTATGGAAGGTGGGTGACACCCCACGTATGCCTTTGGCCTTAATTTACCCGTTCCATTCCAGCCATGAGGCGGTCTTCCCAGTCCCCAACTTCATTACTCAGGGCCTTGGCCAGTGCCATCTGTGCCCTGAAACTACAGTGTCTGTGCCAGTGACTGCTCCCGACACTTAGGCTGTATTCACTGAGGTTACGCTCACATCAACTCTGTGAGGAGGCCTTATCTTCTTCATCTTGCAGGGAGGACATCAAAGCACAGAGAGGTTAAGGGAGTATCCCAAGGTCACACAACTACTTCCTCTATGGCAGAACTCTGTCTTACAATGATTTACATTTGTGAATCAGCCCAGGAGGGTGTCCAGGTAGAAGCTGGTCCTCTCTCCCAGGTTTTATGGTGACTTTCTGGGCCGGAGTCCAGAGAGTGTTTATCCAGCAAAGAAGAACTAAAACGACTCCCCACAGAAACAAACTGCCATCCCGGATCCCCCACGGCCTGACTGCCACACCCTCTGGCCACATGACATTGCCTCTTGTGTCCCTGGCTGCTACCCCTCTTCCTGGACAGAAGGGGAGGTCACAGCTGAGCATTGCCGGTAGCAGCAAGAAAACAAACAGTGCCAATGTCCCCATGCCCCTGTTTCTCGGAACTAGGTGCCCTTCTGGCCATCAAGGGTGAAGGAATTCTCCCTAGAGGGGCAAGGGAGAGGCCAGAGATGTAGACAACTCCGAGTGCCAGTGGAAACCCAGACCAGCCCTCAGACACCCTGCTTGGACCTCCCCCAGATGGCACCATCCCTGGTCCATGCCAGAAGTGGCTCATCCCACACTCAGCCCCTTGGTCCAGAAGGCCTTCATCCTCAGGACAGGTCAGTGCTTTCCACAGTCCCAGACCTGATTTTCACAATGGTGCCTTCCCAGGCTCTTGGCTTCACAAGATTCTTGCAGTTAGACACACACACCCAGGCAGATCTGATCTTATTCCTGTTTTAACAGGCGGGGAGGCTGGCTCGGCTTCCTCCTATTGCCTTACAAATTGGCATCTGCAATTCAGGGGTTGATGCCGGCAACTGGTCCCGCAGTCTCTCTGCAGACACACAGGCACCCGCAGGTCCACTGACAGCGATGCTGAACATGCACAGATGTGGCCCTGGGCTTGAGACCTCTGTTTCTCATCGAGTTCCCATTGTTCCTACAGAGCCCAGCACAGCAAGATCAGGGTGATGACCTTTGGCAGAATGGTTTGCTGTTGGTTGAGGAAGGCTTCCCTTGAAGCCACTGCCTCTGGAGACTGTAGAAAGTAAGGGGGGTGGGGTGGGGACAGGGTAGTGGTTCACACCAGATAACCTTAATGAGGTATTAAGGAACTTGGAAGACCCTGTCTCTAAATAAACGTAAAAAAGAGCTGGGGGTGTGGCTTGGTGGTGAAGCCCCTCTGGGTTAAATTCGTGGTACAAAAGATAGATAGATAGATAGATAGATAGATAGATAGATAGATAGATAGATAGATAGATAACAGGGGGATGCAAATTGCCAGCCTCAGCAAGGTGATCAGAGTGGCAAACAGCTAGAATTAGTTCCTGCCGATGACAGTGATTTTCAAACTGTAACATGTACACGAATCACTTAGAGATCCTGCTAAACTGTTGATATTGATTCGATCTGAGTGGACCCAAGAAGGTACATTTCCAATAGGCTCCAGGAGGAGTCCATACTGTTGGTCCTTAGAACATACTCTGAGTAGCAAGAGCTTAACAAGATGGTTTGTTTCTTCCTTATGTTCTTGAAACCCAGAAGTTGGCATCCCAGGGCTATATAGTGGTGCTCCATAGTGTCAGGGATCAGAGCTCTTAGACCTTGTCACCACTCCATGTGACTTTTATTCCCAAGATGATCCACCATGGTGTCAGATGGAGCTCCAGCCATTCCATTTGCATCTTTAGTCTTTCCCTTTCTCCCAGAGCAAGAACTGATAGAAGAGTCCGCCCCGCCCTTCCTTCCCAAGAACCCATCAGAAACAGTATACGTACACTCCTGCCCCCCCCCCCCCAAGGACCCAGCCAGCGCCTTCCCAACGTCCGTTTGTAAAGGAGGTTGGGAAATAGTCTTTTTTTGGCCAGGCAACCAGGGGCCCAGCTAAAAAATCAAGAACTCCACTTCTGAGGAACTAGTTGAAAAACAGTGGGAGGCGACTCAGACCCTCTGACACACCAGGCTGGAATGGAATCAGTCTCCCAGAGCCAAATGTGAGAATGAACCACAATTCTGACCCCCAGGGTTCTGCCTGCGACCCACCAATCCACCTCGAGGCGCCTTGTAACGAAGCGCCACCTGCTCACTCCCAGGGGCAGTGGGGGTGGGTCTGACCTCGGCCACTGGAGGCAGAGCGCCTGGTTCAGATTTTGCTCGGTCACTCATTGGCTATAAAGTCATGGGCAAGTTAGTTAATGTCTCTGTGCCTCGGTTTCCCTTCTGTAGAATGAGGATCTAGTAGTGTCTGTCTCCCGTGGTTGTTACAGGGTGGAAAGAGCAAAGCTTGCCCAAGGTTCTGGTGACTAAATAAAGCCACTGGAACTCCACCAGCCCGCTTTGCACCCATGCTGTTGGTGTGCACAGAAGTTACGAAACAAGGAGGCCCATCTTCTCGGAGCTGAGGAACCAAATGGTATCCAACTTGGAAAGAATGACCTTGGAGCTACGCATTTGAAGACCAGTCATTTATTTGGAGGTCATCTCAGTTTGCTCAGAAACTTTTAGGATGAATTTTTTCCCCAAAAGCTTTCTTTTGTGTGATTTTGGTGTGTGTGTGTGCAAGAAATGAATCATGATCATACTGTGATGTCTTTGTAATGTGTCACTTTGGCCCTGTTGAATTCTGTGCCCCAGCAGTCCTTTCCTGGCATGTTTCTGAAGGAGGTGGGCCACCAGGGCTCCCCCGTGAGAGGACAGGAGGGCAGGAGGGGGAGGGGACAGCCACCTGGTGCAGCAGGGCCAGGCCAGCCTTGCAGGCCTGTTGATTTCCCTCCCAGGGTGAAGCAGCAGCTGGTCACGTGTGTGCTTTAGACAAAGGACCCCAGCTTCTGCCACATGCCCTTGTCACCAAGGCCAGAGAAAGATAAGGGCTTCAGTCCATCCTTGTGGGTCCCCAGCTGGCCCTACAATTTTTGTGGACTTGAAGCTCCAGCAACAGACATGGAGACATGTAGCCCCAGGGCGGGTGCGAGCCAGGCCTCTGTGATAAATCAATCAGTCTGTCTGTCTGTCTAACCATCTACCTATCATTCTCTTATATTCATCTATCTGTTCATCCATCTATCTCCTATCTGTTGATTTATGTCCTCCATCTATTCACCTACCCACCTACTATTTTCTATCAATTGATTTATCTATTTATTCATCTATTGATCTATCAATCTACCTATTCACCTATTTTCTATCTACCTATTTTTTTTCTATCCTCCATCTACTCATCTACTTTCTATTTATCTTTCTTTCTTTTTCTTTAATCTATCCATCCATCTGCTCCAGGGTTGCAGCCCTGGCTTATATACATATTATCAGAAAAACAGAATAACTCTGGGGTCCCCCACCCCCTATTTCACAGCTGGGGGAACTGAGGAAGAAAGGTAAATTGCTTTACTAAAGGTGACATTGCAAGCTAGTGACTATGGAGGAGGCAGAGCCCAGGCCCCCGACTCCCAGTCCAGTGCTGTCCCCAGGGCCCGTCCCCACCACTGCTCCTACGTGCCCACCCCTGCTGCACTCGGAGACCCCCCTGGGTTTCCATCGGGCTCAGGGTGGGTACATAGGACCAAGTTTCATGTGCGTCCTGCCCTCAAGCTGCCCACAGTCTGTCAGAGAGACTGGTACATCTCTAGACTGTTTGAACGTGGAATGGCCCGGGGCCAGGTGGGGGAATAGCAGCACACGAGCCTGTGAGTCCCCCTGTGCATGTCACAGGGGGCCAGGAGATGCCTGGCTGTGGTCTGCTCTGAGAAAATCCCTAAGGAGCTTTTCTCCAACAGCCATAGAAGGAATCATGGGAGCACTCCCTGCCGTGCTCCCATGTGGCACAGACCTGCATGTGGGCACTGCTCCCCCTTGAGCCCCCTGCCCATCCCCAGGTCCTGTGGCCCCTCCTACTGCAGGACCTGGAATCTCATGTCCTCTCCTGCGTGCGGCTGCTCCCAGGGACCCCACACATTCCTTCCTGTGTGCTCTCCTGCAGGGACCCAGCACCTTAGCCTCCCTGGGGAGGGCTTCATGTTTGTGGGACGGCCGGACTTGCCTGGTATCCCCCCCATTGCCAGCTAGCAGCCCTCCCCCAAGCTCAGTGCTGGACACAGACAGGCACCAAGGCCCAGGTCCTGCTGCCCCCAAGCCTGGCCTGAAGCTACACACACCCCCTCACCGACATTTCCAAATCCTGAAGTCCTGACCTGAGGACCCCAGGAAACACACACATACCCACCGCCCCGCAGACTGCTGTCACCCCCCTGTGCACTGATGTGGGGAAGGAGCCGGGCAGGAGGGGATCGCCCTGGGGAGGTTCCGGACCCAAGGCACTTGCCCCTGTTTACTCACCACTGAGCCAGAAACTCTCCGAACTTACTGGAAAGCTCCTGGCACTTTGTTTTCCTGAAACGAAACAAAAACAGGTTGGACTTCTCTGGTGTTTACCTGCAGGCTCAATTACCTAATTCTGAGCTGGGCTGCCTGGCAGGCTGGCAAAGGTGAACACAGGGCAAAGGCAACCACTTCTCTCATGCGCCCAACCCAAAGCAGAAGCCTCTGGAGGAGGAGACTGAGTCAGGGCTAGGGAGACTCCTGGCTGTGGAAGAAGACGGAGCAGGTAGGAGTGCTGTTTGACTCTGAGCAGCTTACTTAACCTCTCTGAACCTGTGTCTTCATCTGCTTCCCTTGCTGGATTGTTGGAGGATTCACAATGACAACCTAGCACCCAGCATTCAAGCAAAGGTGGCTGCTGTTAGGAGCAAAGATCTCTTTTGGCCAGACTGTAGGGGACTCAGAGGTTCTGTAGCTCCTCAGTCTCCTTTACAAATCAATTCTATCCAAATGTGTCACCTCACCTCCCACCCAAAGTATTCCTCCCAGGCTTGCTGCTCCCAAACACGCAGAGGTGTTCTTCCAGAGGCAGATGATATGAAATTGCCATGTATGTTGTGGACATACCCCTAGCTGCTGGGAGGAAGTTCTTCTCAACCAGAGCTACCATGTTGTGACTCAGTTTCCCTCTGCTCTCCCCATCTAGAACTCCGGAGGAGCTGTGGGCATATCCTGTCTCATGATGGCCTCTGGTGGCTCTTTTCTTCAATCTCCCATGACCATCCAAATATTTCTGCTTGACCCTGGTGCCTTGGGCTGGAAAGAAAACAGACCCAGGTACATGGAAATTCCTGGTGGGACTCGGGCTATGCAGCTAGCTCAGAACATGTTTAAATGCATTTCTACATGAAAGTCTTTTAAATTTTCAAAAGGAAGCCGCTCATGCCAGTCTGAGAAATTCTGGCTTGGAGCCACCAGGACGTGGCACAATCTTCCCCAACCCTATCCCAAGGTAGGTCCTTGTATTTCCAACTTTCATGGCTTGCAAGAGGGATGGTGAGCGTATGGCCAAAGCCCTCGGTGGTCACCAGAGGGAGATCACACACAGTCTCCCACACCTTCCTCCTCCCTCTCTCTGGGTCCTTGGTAATGACATGACAGCTCCTCCCCTGACCTTACACCCAGGCTGACCTGAGGCTTGCTTTAACCAGAGAATCCGGTGGAGGTGAGGCTGCTGGGTCTGTCCCAGCCAGGACCCCATGGCCGGTGCTTTACTGGGTTCTTCCCTTCCGGCCCAGTGCCCTTGACGTGGATAAAGTAAATCAGAAACCAGAGCTCCTCCCCGCCATGAGAAGAAAGCATCTTGATAGTGTTTCTAGTAGAAAGAGGGTGCAGAAGGGGTGGAAAGACGCAGGACATTTTTAGATCTCTGTCCTGAGTGGAGGGAAAGGGGGATGCACAAGTCCCTGAGACTCCTTCATTGGAAAAGAACTGCAGCTAGCTGGGAGGCTGAGATCACCTGGACAGGGAGGGGTGCCTCGTCCCCTCCGTCATGACTGGGTAGGATCAGAAACCATGCTCCGCTCTGCTCAGGAGCTCTGCTCATCGGAAAGCAGCCACCACCAAGCTATGCTACTCTGTAGCCCAGAGATGCTGTGTCCCTTTCTCAAGCCACAGAGCCATTGGAAGACGGGCTGGGACTGCCTGCTGAGCCGGCCCTTAGCCTCTTGGCTTCAGGGAATAAATACTGGGCCTGCAGCTGGCCTCTGCCTCCGGCTCCTCCTGGAAAATCCCAGGACAGCTTCATCTGGATGTTTTTCAGAGTCAGGCTGGCTTCATTTCTGTCCTGCTGGCCCTCGGCACTGTACCTGACAGAGGGGGTGAGAGGACAGGACCACTCAAAGAAGGAACTTTTCTGACATTTTATTACCAGGTGCAAGTTCAAAGTCCCAGGGCACAGCACATATGCTTCTTATGAGGAGTATTTAAACATGTACATAAGTGATTATATGTGTACGCTTGTGCATGTCAATATCTGTGTACATGGGTGTGTGTATGTGTGCAGTGTGAGTCCTTTATCTACAGGATTGTGAACTCCTTGATGATGTGGAATGGAAGATGAATGGATGGATAGATAGATAGATAGATAGATAGATAGATGATAGGATGAATTTAGCAGATTATTTTATAGACATCAACATTTTATCTGTTTACCCAATTTAAATTGAACCATTTGAATCACGTGAATCAAAGATATTTGGATCCATTTTTAATTTTTTTTTTTTATGAGCGCTCCTCATCTGTCAATTGTCATATCACTGAATTGATGGAATGGACAGACTGTGGGTGGATGGAAAGATGGATGAACCAACAGGCAGATGTGGGGGTGAGTGGATGGATGGATGGACAGGAAGACAGACCCATCACCTCTGACCCTCAGCTGGTGGTTTGTTCATAGCAGGCCAGCTAATATGGAAAGAAGGCAGAGTTCACATTGGTCTTTGTCCCTAGAGGAACACAGAGGAACTGGAAGAAGGCAGCAGAGAACTCTCAGGGCTTGAAACCAGTGGTCTTGACCACGCATTTCTCTGATCTTCAGTTTTCTTCTCTGTAAGGAAAGAATGTCAAGCATGGAGTCTGCTCCCAGGGGTAAATGGGGAATTAAGCCCAAAGGATCATGTTCGGAGGTTCACAGAGTGGACAGGCCCAGGGACGTGGTCTAGACAGGGACCAGGTCCAATCCTGGCTGTGCCACTTAAGTGCTGGGGGACCCTGAGGAAGTTGCTCGAACACACCCAACTGGGGAGGAAGTTGCTCCTTGTTAGAGCTGGGGCTCTGTGTGGAGAAGCACCAGGTGCTCTCAGCAACAGTCACCATACCGTTGTCCCTGCAGAAGGCCTGGCCCCACCTCTCACGCTGCACAGGCAGAGAGCTGTGCATGGAACCAGGGCAGGACCACAGAGAGGGCTGAAGGTGACAAAGGCCATAGGGCCACACAGGGAATGGGGGAGGCCAGGAGAGGCCAAGAAGGCCTCCCTGGAGGAAGAAAAGAGCAATTGTAGGGAAACTCATCCTGCCCAGCTGACCTCCCGAAAAGGGGACATAGTGACACGGCGAGAGAAGAGAAATGGTTTTAAAACTACCAAAGAGTTGCCACATCTTGGGGGGGATGTTCATATTGGCTAACCCATAGATGGGATTCCTGGAGAAGGGGAGGGAGCCCAGATGCTGGACACAGCTGTCAACACAGTGTCCGGGGCCATGGCTTCACATGGACCTGGAGTGGGACCAGGTCCCATGTGACAGCTGATCTGGAAGGCTCTGCATCCTGGGCAGGGAGAGCCTGGGGAAGCTGGGGGTCCTGGGTTCTTCCAGGCCTAGCTGGCCTCTTGTTCTTGTTGGAGCTTCAGATAATCAGGTCCCTTTGCCCAGCTGTGGGCCCAGCTCCACACCACCCTGTCCTTGTGTATGTCGAGGGGTGCTCAGCCCTCTCAGAGACCCCGACCATCTTGGCCCCTTACCACACTGCCGCTACTCACCCACCTCCCCAACTCTGGTCATTAGCAATTGGCCCAGACAGGGGCCTGACCCAGGGCAGGCAATCCATGAGTGGCTGGTGCCCAACAGGGGTCAGCCAGGTACTCTTTTTCATGAACCTGAACTTGGAACAAACTTGCCAGCTCTCAGAGGAGACAGAAGGGAGGTGGGGGCTGCCTGTGCTAAGCCATGGGTGAGCGTTCGAGGAGAGCAGGGGGTTTGTGGGAGAGAAAGGAGAGAGAGAAGGTGGGATGCGGAGGAACTAGGGGAATAGAAAGAGCAAGAAGGAGAGAGAGACGGACAGACAGACAGACACACCAAGCAAACTGAAAATCACCTCCACAGAGTTCCAGAGCCGGTCTGTGCAAATCTTCACCTTAAATCCCATTATCTTAAAAAAAAAAAAAAGTCATGAACTTTAACTTCATTTATTTGTTTATTTTCTAGCCTTCTATATTTTGAAAACAGTATTAAAGGGAAATTGGTTCATGGAGCCCCCAAGGACACAAAAAAATCACAGAAGTTCAAGTCCCTTATCATGAAATGGCAAGTATTTGCACATAACTACATAATCCTCTCAGATACTTTAAATCATCCCTCGATTATTTCAGATACCTAATGTAATGTAAGTGCTACGTAAAAAGTTATTTAGGGAATAATGACATTGAGGGAATGTGTATTATTTAGGGAATAATGACAAGGAAAACATCTATACATGTTCAATACAGATACAATTTAAAAAAAACACTTTCAGTCTACGATTGGTTCAATCCACAGAGGGGGGACCTCTGGGTGTGGAAGGCCAAGTGCATAATATAGAGACATAAATATGCACAAAATATATGCTTACAGCTCAACAAATTATTAGTGAGCCAAAGTAGAGTTCGGTTCAAGAAATGGGAGATTGTGGTTTCCCCAGTCACCCCTCCCCCCATCAGGTGTCTGATTTTTCTTTGTAGCCTTATAAAGACAATTAAATATGCAACAAGTAATGCAGGTGGGTCCAGCCGGTTTTCTAACTCTATATGGATGGACTCATGTCTGTGTGTTCGCCGAGTTCAGCTTTTTTCACTTAATGTAAGTTTTGCATGTAGCTTAGATCATCCTTCTGGGTCTGTGGGTTACCTCATAATAATGACCACACAGCAGTGTACAAATGTGTTCTATGGTTGATGGGCGTTTGGGTTGTCTCCAGGTGTTTGACTAATAGAAATAACTTTTCCTACCCTTCTACCTAATTATCTTTAGGTGTTAAAGAAGATATATGAGCTGGGTGTGGTGGCACATGCCTGTAAATCCCAGCAGCTCCTGAGGCTGGGGCAGGAGGATGGCGAGTTCAAAGCCAACCTCAACAACTTAATGAGGCCCTAAAAAACTTAGAGAGACCCCATTACCCTGCCTCAAAATAAAATATAAAAAGGGGCTGTGGAAATTGGTGCAACCACTAAGGAAAGCAGTATGGAGATTCCTTAGAAAACTTGGAATGGAACCACCATTTGACCCAGCTATCCCACTCTTCATTTTATACCCAAAGGACTTAAAATCAGCATATTATAGTGACACAGTCACATCAATGTTTATAGCAGCTCAATTCACAATAGCTAAGCTATGGAACCAACCTAGATGCCCTTCAGTAGGTGAATGGACAAAGAAACTGGCATATATACACAATGGAATATTACTCAGCAATAAAAGAGAATAAAATTATGGCATTTTCAGGTAAATGGATGGAGTTGGAAAATATCACGCTAAGCAAAATAAGCCAATCCCCAAAAAAACCAAAGGTGGAATGTTCACTCTGATAAGTGGATGCTGATCCATAACAGGGAGGGGGGACATGGGAAAAATGGAGGAACTTTGATTAGGCAAAGGGGAGGGAGGAGAGGAAGGGTGTATGGGGGCAGGAAAGATGGTGGAATGAGGTGGACATCATTACCCTAGGTACATGTATGATCGCCCAAATAGTGTGACTCTACACCACGTACAACTAGGGAAGTGAAAAGTTGTGTTCCGTTTGTATACATTAAATTGAAATGCATTCTGCTGCCATGTATAACTAATTAGAACGAATTTAAAAAGGGTGGAGCTGGGGAATGGAATGTGGCTCAGTGGTTGAGTGCCCCTAAGTTCAATCCCAGGTACCAAAAATAATAAATAAATAAATAAATAAATAAGCAATTTAAACATGCAGAGCAGCTTTCCCAGCATGAACATGGGGAAATTCAGAGAAGTCTTTCCGACTAGGGACTCCTCCTGAAACTCTCAGGGAACTGGGAAGTCCTTCACGAATGGGGCTGTATGAGGTTAAAAGACTGTGACGACCCGGTGGGCGAGCCATTGACAAGCAAGGTCTGGTTGGGGAAGGTCCAAAGAAACTCGGATGCATCTCCGTGGGCTGGCTTCCAGATCATATTTGAATAGATGGCTTTTATTGTTTCAGGAAGACTCACATACATGGGTGTATACACTAGATGCCCTACTATGCAACTTACTTTTTTACTTAAGGTACCAAAGACATCTTGCTGATGACTACATATAGCTCAAACTCACAATCCATGCAATAGATATAACAGAACTTATTCAGCTAGCGCCCTATTAATGTACAGATACTTTGGAATCAGTGATAGAAGGAACACGCCTGGATATTAGTTCCTGCATACTGAGGTTTTTAGCACACAGGTCAGCTCCTGTCACTTGATTCCTCTAGGGGAAAACACAAACTCCTTACCTGGGTTTCTGATTCCTCCATTCCCTGGTCCTGTCACCCTCTCTGAGCTCATCATGATATTCCCTCCCTGTGCCATTAGACACCAGCTACACCAGCCTTATTGCAGGTCCTTGAAATGTGCCAAACCTGTCCCTGCCTTGAGGCTGCCGCTCTGGCTGTTCCCTCTTCTAGAATGCCCTTCCCTGATGCTCAGTGACAGTTTCCTCACCAGTGCTCTAGGGAAATGTCACCTCTTCACAGATGGCTTCCTGCTCACCCAAGTTTAAGTGGCCACCCTCCCTCTCCTCTGTCATATGTTCTCTATGCAGCCTCCAAAATGCTTTAATGTGTTCTCTTAAAAGATACGTTGAAGTGTCTAACCCCAAGTGACCATGACTGACCTTGTTTGGGAATAGTTGCAGATGCAGGCCCGTTATGATGACGTCACACCGCTGCACCTAGTAGAAGAAAACGTAGCCCCAACACTCCATCACGTCAGCTTAAGAACGGACTTCCTCAATGAGAAGTAAGATCAAGAATGAATAAATGGAGGGGCTGGGGTTGTGGCTCAGTGGTAGAGGGCTTGCCTAGTATGGGTGAGGCACTGGGTTTGATTCTCAGTACCACATATAAATAAATAAATGTCCATCAACAACTAACAAAATATTTTTAAAAAAGAATGAATAAATGGAAAGGGATCAAACTAAAAACTTGCTTCACGACAAAACAAAACCCGATCAAAAAGTGGGCAAAGGAACTGAACAGGTGCTTCACAGAAGAAGAAAGACAAATGGTCAACAAATGTAAGAAAAATGTTCCTCATCTCAAGCAAATAGAGAAACGCAAATCAAAACTACACTGAGATTTCATCTCACTCCAATCAGAATGGCAATTATCAAGAATACAAGGAACAGTACATGTTGGCGAGGGTGTGGGGAAAAGGCACACTCATACGTTGCTGGGGGAATGCAGATTAAGGCAATCACTCTAGAAAGCAGTATGGAGATACATTAGAAAACTTGGAGTGGAAACACCATTTGACCCAGTAGTACTATTCCTTGGTATATATATCCAAAGGACTTAAAATCAGCATACTACAGTGATGCAGTCACATCAATGTTGATAGTAGCTGAACTACTTCACAGTAGCTAAGCTATGGAACTAACCTAGAGCCCTCCAACAGATGAATGGATAAAGAAAATGGGGTATATATACACATGGAATATTACTCAGTTATAAAAAAGTGAATTTATGACTTTTGCCAGTAAAAATCAGGAGACTATTATGCTAAGTGAAATAAGCCAATCCTAAAAAACCAAAGGTCAAATGTTCTCTCTAAATGTGGATGGTGACCCATAACAAGGGAGGGTAGGGAGAGGAAGTATAGATTAGACAAAGGGGAATGAAGGGAAGGGAGGGGGGATGGGAATAGGAACACAGTAGAATGAATCGGACATAACTTTCCTATGTTCATAGATGAATACATAACCAGTGAAACTCCACCTCATGTACAACCACAGGATTGGGATCCTAATTAGAATAAATTTTACTGTGTGTATGTATAATATGTCAAAATACACTTTACTGTCATGTATATCTAAAAAATTTTTAAAAAGAAATGTGCAGAATAGGCAAATCAATAAAGATAGAACATGAATGGTAGTTGCTTTGGGTGAGGATACTAAGGGGAATGGAGAGTAGCAGATCATTAGTATAGAAAAGAGATTTCTCTTTGGGATGACTAGAATATTCTAACATTAGATTGAGGTGATTGCCGTGCAACTCTCTGAATATACTAAACAACTTTAGATCATGTACATTTTAAATGGGCAAATTGTAGAGTATGTGAATTAGGTCTCAGTAAAACTATTCTTCAAAGAGTAGAGAAAAGGGAGGGTGGAGATGAGGTCATACTGTAGTTGACCCCAATCAAATTATTGGTGTCCTTATAGGAAGAGAAAAAATGTGGCAAAGAGACACAGGAGAGAAGAATACCCTGTGGCACGTGATGGGTTGGGACAGAGGCATCTGAGAGCTAGGGGACACGAAGCTCCTCACCAACCCCCATGATCTGGGAGAGAGGCTAGGAGCCAACCCTACTGATGCCTTGATTTCAGACTTCTGTTCTCCAGGACTGTGAGGAATAAGTTCCTGTTTCTTGAATTCATGAAGTTTGTGGCTATTTGTTATAGCAGCTACAGGAAACTAATACACAGCCCCAGTCTTTGTCCAGTTCCTTCCTAGTTTCTTCCATTGTTTCTTTGGGGTCTGCCTCTCCCATGAGAATGCAAGCTCCATGAGAGCAGGGCCTTGTCACCACACCCCCAGTGACTGCCACGGTGACACTGACTGAATGAATCAACAGTGGGTTCAGCCTGAAGAAACCTATCAGTGAGGCCGCTGAGTCGAATGGCAGACTTTTGTTGTTGTTTGACACTGGGAATTGCACCAGGGCCTCACTCCGGGCTGTCCCACCGGGCCTCCACCCCAGCCCCAGGCAGTGAGTCAGATTTCTCTTCCCGAAACACCATTGCTGTGGCACTCAGTTTCCTAAATGTATGCTACCCTCTCCCAGTAATAAAATTGTTGGTTGTAATCCCCCTCCTTCCTTCATGAACCCTCCAGGACAGGGTCCATGTTTCATCTTTCCATTTCTAGGAAGCCGGCACATGGCAAGTGCCCACACGCGCAGAATGAAGGAAGGAACGGATGGATTGTGGGAATATCTTGACATCCTTCCTATCATCTTGCCACCTGAATCCTCCCCATCCCCACACAACACCAACATTGGGCCTTCAGTTAATTGGGACACCTGGGTATTGTCCTTCTTCTCCACTTTGCTCCTTCAGTTAATTGGGACACCTGGGTATTGTCCTTCTTCTCCACTTTGCTCCCAGGTTTGGTTCAGGACTGAGGTGGATCACAGATCCCCCAGGGGAGTTTGGGTCTCTGTGCCTCCCTTCCCAAGTGGACCTGAATGGGCAGCAGGATTGGAAAGGAGTAACTCCACTCAGCAAAATGTGACTAGCTGGGCCTGGTGGCACACTCCTATACCCTCAGCTACTCGGGAGGCTGAGGCAGAAGGATTGCAGGTTGAAGGCCAGACTCAGCAACTTAGCTTGACTCTGTCTCAAAATAAAATTTTTAAACAGGGCTGGGGATGTAGCTCAGTAGTAGGGCTCTTGACTAGCATGCTGGACGCCCCAGGTGGAATCCCCAACACCCAAACCCAAAACAAATGATCAAACAAACAAAAACCAAAGTGGGGCTGCAGAATTCTTGCAGCCAGGGGAGGTAGACATGGTTAGAACAGCAGGTCCTCAATCCCCGAGCACACTGCCTGCAGAGGCTGCCGCAGGACCTCCTGAGGATGAGATGGAAGTTGCTTTTCTCTACTCTGTTGTTCAGCAGAACTGGAGTGACTGGGAGACAGGGATCAGAGGGGAGGTGGAGAAGACAACACAAAAAGGCATCCAGACACGTGACCCTGAGCAGGGCCAGGTGGCCCTTCTGTGCAGCCAAATTAAGGTCCACCACTCAGGGCTTAAAGTGAAATAAGTTGAATTAAAAAAAAAAAGTTACATCTCTTGCATACTGAGATTTGTTTCCATTCAGATAATTTGAAAGCAATTAGACCAAGGGGAGAACTCAGGGGTGTTATTGTCACCTGGCATGGATAGCAGGGTGGCTTCCCAGAAAAAAAGTGCATGGTGGGGGTCCCAGTGTGTTCAGATCAAGCAGGACAGGGTCCAAAGACTCAGCCAGCCAAAATCTCCCCTTTGCAGAACTGTACGCTCTGAGGGTTGGCTCAGGGTGGCAGAATCGGTGGTGGAAGGATGTAGAAGTAGACACCTGAAACCCACCTCTGTCACAGACAACCAAGGCACAGGTGATGGTGAGGACCAAGTCAGGTCAGGGTCGAGAAAGGCTTTGGGAACCACAGAATTTCTACAGTCACAACCGGAGTCTGGTCTCCCCAGCATCCTGGCAGCATTGGGTGGACCCAGGATACTCAGAACCCTAAAGTGCATACAGAAGCAGAGCATCTAAGTTCACCACCTATTTATTCTTCAGTAAAACCATTTGGGCAGGAGTTCGGGCCTGCTCAGAACCTGGTGACCCTAGGTGTCAGGCCATTGGAGCACACCTGCCTTTGCAGTTTTCCTGTCCTTCACTTATTGGAAGCTGCAGATTAGATGAAAAGGACCAGGCACCTTGTCACCATGGACTGCCTGATACTGAAAACAAAAGAGACTCCTAAAAAGCCCTTGTGCTCAGTTCAGAGCCCTGGGGAGTGCACCTATTGTGTGCAGGGGATGCTCCAGGATGCATGCGGGCTTCAGAGGGGAGGGGACAAAGAGGGGCAGTGTGAAGGCAGAGGGTGGTGCGGGGCGATGCAGGAGCAGGTGGAGGGTGGTGGGGATGCTCAGCCAGGTGATGAGGGAGGCGTCTCAGAGGGGTTGCCCCAGAGCTCAGCCTGGATGGGGCGTGAGAGTTTTGCAGGTGCAGGAGTGTCAGCAGGCTGGGCAGGGCACAGCGTGGCAAGTGCTTGGAGGTGTGATCAGCATGCCTGGCACAGGGCACTGAGGACAGGCATCCCTGTGCACTAGCACAGGCCCCAGGAACTTTACTGGCCTGGCCACTGACCCCAAGTCCAAAAAGGCAGTCATATTCCATGAGCTCTTTGTGCAGAAAAATATGTATCCGATCAGCTTGTAGGCTTTGTTTTATGGAACCCAGAGCAGGCTGTATTGGCCCTCTCCTGCCCTCTTTGCTCAGAAGTATAGGAATAAATTTACATGTTGATATAAAAAGAAGTTTTGGGGCTGGGTCTGGGGCTCAGTGGTAGTGCACATGCCTGGTATGTGTGAGGCACTGGGTTCAATTCTCAGCACCACGTATTAAAAATAAATAAATAAATAAAGATCTATCAGCAACTAAAAAATATTTTTAAAAAAAGAAGTTTTAAGGCTCCTGAAAAAATTAATAAAATTCTTTTTTTTTCTTGTTCGTTTTCTTCTTGTGGTGCTGGGGATCGAATTCAGGGACTACCTTTATTTGCTTTTTAAGATGAAGGTGGGGGGCTGGGGATGTGGCTCAAGCGGCAGCGCGCTCGCCTGACATGCCCAGGTTCGATTCTCAGCATCACATACAAACAAAGATGTTGTGTTCGCTGAAAACTAAAAAACAAATATTAAAAAAAAAGATGAAGGTGGGGTGAGAGGGAGTTGGGATTGAACCCAGGGCCTCACACAGGCTAAGCATGCACCAGTACCACTGGCCACTAAGATTTTATTTTTATCCAAAACATACAGACTCTGTTTAAGGAGTTAACTATCTTTGCTGAGTGTGTTAACAAATATTGATCCTTTTGAGAATATGGCATCCTTTTGAGGATGCTTGTGAACCAATTCATTGTTTTAAAAGCTAGCAAAATGAAAAGGCAGAATCAAGAATCTATATCCTGCCTTTATTACGTGCTCTTTACTACTGCATAGTCAAAGGAAAGAGAGAAGTGTGTCCTTAGAGAAGTATTCTGGCTAGTAAATGAGAGGATAGTAGAATTAGAATCCCAGCTGTAGCCCACTAGTGGCTCTAGGTACTGATTCACAATAGCTAATATCATGAAATGAAAAGCAACCATGCCCAATAAGTCCCCTGATGGAAGAATACAAGTCACTTAGGAAGGAGACCTACAAAGCATAAAAGCCAGAGCCAAATCTAACCAAGACCCTAGACCCCACTACCAAACTGCAGCAAGGACAGGGGACAGAGGAATATTTGAACCAAAATCACGGGGCACAGACAATAATATCCAGACTTTGGGACCTCAGAGGGTCAAGCGGTGGTCTGATTGCCACAGAAGGAAGAGGTAGGGGGCCGGGTGGGGAGTGGGGATGGCAACTGGAGGAAGAGACCTCATTTGGATCCTGACTTAAGTTCTAACAAAGGAAAGAATGCATACTCCAAAACTGAAATTTGGAACCATATAGCCTAGTAGATGAGAGAATAGTTCAAAGGAATTAAAGGAGACAATTTCAAAAATTTTGTGCATGATTACGAAAAAAAAAAAAAACCTACAACAGAGTTGAAAGGATTAACTAGTTTTACTGAGTTTCCTAAGAAAAATAGTTGTCCCCAAACTCTCTCATTACCCTCTCCTGTTCCCAACCACTATAGGATTGTAGCTATTTTTTGTATCTATTTGATTCTACGTCTCTATAAAAAAAATCTGAGTACTTCCTTGCATTTTTGGGGGGAGTGGGAGGTACTTGGGATTGGCTCTAGGGCTTTGTGCCTAATAGGCAAGTGCTCTACCACTGACTAGGACCCAGTCCTTGAATATTTCTCTTTCCTGATGTCTTGATTGTAGGCATTATCCAGTGACTTCCATCTCTGGGGAATGAGAAGGTGTGAGTGGATCCTGCCACCCACGGTCTACACCAGTCTCTTTATCCTCAAACTCCCAGCAGAGATTTGTGTAACATTGACTTAGTAAATATTCAGTGTCTATGGTGTTATAACGATTCAGAGCTGAGCTATGTAGTAAGTTGTGTTAGTCTTTCCTGCCCACATCTCTCTCCCCAGGAGTTAATAACTGGCTCATTTTTGTTTGCTTGCTTGTTTTCTACATACTCATAGTTAATTCAATCCAAACTCTCTGTTAGTTGTCTAACTCTCTCTGCAATTTTTTCCTATTGGGTATTCTGCCAAATTCATCAGAGTAGAAAAGTCCCTTCCAGAACCTTCTGATTTGCCCAGGATGGACTATCTTCCCATTCTGCTGGGTCCACAACCACCATCTTACCATCTCCCTTCTCCATCCCTGGGGAATCCCTCAATTTCTCTCCTGGGCTGGCTGGTTTATCCCCTTGTTTTGGTGGAGTCTGACTTAAGTAGCCTTCTAAGAAAAGGTGTGTAGGAGGTAGTCTTGAGTTTGTATGCTTTAAATATCTTTGTTATTCTCTTCCACTGGATTGATGCCATTGGCTGGCTATAGAGTTCTTGGTTGGTGCAGTATAGGCACCTCTAAAATGGCCCCAGTGAACCCTGCCTTCTGGTATTCAGGCCCTTGTGCAATACTCTGCCTGTGCTTTTGGTCTGTGACTAATAGGATGTGGCAGAAGGGGTGGAATATCACTTTCAAGACTAGATTGTAACAGACTGTCATGGGCTCTTTCAATCCTGTGGATTAATCCCTCTGAGGATAGCCACATCACGAACAGCCCCATGGAGAAGCCTCTGTAGCAAGGACCTAAAGTCCCCTGCCAGCAACCACATGGGTGAAGTTGGAAGCAAATTCTTCAGCCCCAACTGAAGATGGTTGCAATTTGGTACCCAGCTTGACTATTGGGAGACCCTGAGCCAGAACAATCCAGCTAGCCTCTCCTGAACCCTGACCCTCAGAAACCTTGAGATAATAAGTGCATGCTGCTATAAACTCTTAGGTTTCAGAGCAATTCATTCTGTAGCAACAGGCAATATATATAGTTGTTGGAAATCCTTTTCTTCCACAGTTTTGAAAGCTCCACCCCCAGGCCCTCTAGCCTTCCAGGGTTGCTGTTGAGAACCCCCAAACCATTCTGATTCCTGAAT